AACGTTTAGTATTAAATGTGGAAGACATACAAGGAACAGTCCCACAATGTTTGTATTAAATGTCAAATACAAACGAGGATCAGCTCCACAATGTTTTGTATTTTAGAGTATGAACAGACCCACAATGTTTGGCATTAAATATTGAATACACAGACGGTACATGTACACATTGGTATTAAATGTGGAATAGATACAGGGAACAGTCCCACAATGTTTAGTATTGAATGTGGAATACAGAAGGAACATTCCTGCAATGTTTGGTAATAAATGTGAAATACAGACAGGAAACATTCCCACAATGATTGGTATTAAATGTGGATTACAGACAGAACATTCCCACAACGTTTGCTATTAAATGCGGAATAGAGACATGGAACAGATCCACACTGGTATTAAACGTGAAATAGAGACAGGAGACAGTCTTACAATTTTGTAACGAAGCGTAATTAGTTTGCTGTGACTGCTATTAAATTACTGTAAACAATTAAAAGCGTAGCATACCATAGATAGATAGATAGATAGATAGATAGATAGATAGATAGATAGATAGATAGATAGATAGATAGATAGATAGATAGATAGATAGATAGATAGATAGATTTCTTACAAGTTATCACCGAGAGATTTGATAACGAAAGTATTCTAATATACAGTTATATACAACATATCACAGATATGTGACAATGAAGGCATAATAATATCCATATATAATACAACATATAATAGATATGTGATTATGAAGGCATGATAATATCCATATATAATACAACATATAATAGATATGTGATTATGAAGGCATGATAATATCCATATATAATACAACATATAATAGATATGTGATTATGAAGGCATGATAATATCCATATATAATACAACATATAATAGATATGTGATTATGAAGGCATGATAATATCCATATATAATACAACATATAATAGATATGTGATTATAAAGGCATGAAAATATCCATATATAATACAACATATGATAGATATGTGATTATGAAGGCATGATAATATCCATATATAATACAACATATGATAGATATGTGATTATAAAGGCATGAAAATATCCATATATAATACAACATATAATAGATATGTGATTATGAAGGAATGATAATATCCATATATAATACAACATATGATAGATATGTGATGATGAAAGAGTGCTAATATACATCAAGGAAACAACTATCAGGAAAATGAAGATCCATGTTTTAGTTTTAAATTTAGCAAAATATGTGTATAAAAGCGTCAACTGTTTCTGACCCAAGTTACGTCTTCTTGTGTACAATACTTGATTGTCTGCGTCACTTGTTGTTTTTGGGGCTTTACGCCATTTTTCAGCACACGATAAGCTATATATGGAGGCCAGTATTAATGGTAGAGGAAGAACCACCGACCCACGAGAAGCTACTGGCAAGCTTTCTCACATATCCACATTCACCTAATCTTAGACTAGAACCCACGCAGACATACGTGAGATGATACTGATCCGTAACGGAGAGCGCTTTAGACCACTCGGCCACTCGGGGTCTCCAAGTGTGCGTCACTACATGGATAACCAACAGAGTTTGGCTTCGACCTTGGTTTACAAGATTAAAGTGCATTTAGAGAATCGAATGTAAGAACTCGAAGTGTCACCAACCCATGTTCAGTTTTTTTAATGGTTCGTGGAGATTTATTATTCGAGGCATTATTTTAAAAAGGCAATGGATGGTTTTGAAAAGTGTTGTACTTCGATTGCTAAAATAATTCATATTAAATCCCGCTGCAATTTTCACGAATGTAACAAGCGTGGAACTCCAATTTCAAAATTTAGTAGTAAAGTTATAATTTTATACCCAGTAAATCAACTAGAAAATGTCAACAGAAACATGTAAGCGCTACCACAACTTGAAAATGCCAACGCTATGTTATTTCATCACGTGCTGCTCTGATATGGACACGCTTACAATTGACACGTCGTCAGAATAGGCGGCTTTCTAGAAGATATGAGGCGCAGTAGGGGACAAAAGCTGGTCCAATCAGAACGTTGCTGTTGAAGTTTTAACGTCATGTGTCCAGAATTCCAGTTTCATGTGTTGTATCAAAAATGTTTATCATTAATGTTCCATTTTCTAAGTCGAGGTTTGAGATTATGTCGTTTGAAATTTGAATGCCATACGTCGATAATTCGTAATTTATTGGTTGAAAGAGTTTATGTTGAAAGTTCCATTTCATATGTTGAGTATTTTGATTTCATTTGTTGAATTATACAGAGCTGGTCGAAAATTCGATGCCCAATGTCGAGTGTTTAGATTGTATCATCGGAATTACACGGCGGTTGTGGAAATGTTAATGTCATATGTCGAGAGTTTTAATTTAACATGTTAAATCACAATAATTGTGCTGAAAGTTCCATTTGTTATGTTGAGTTTAGATGCATCATTCATACATTCAATTACGAGGCACCATTGCACTTCATGCATTTAAAGTTACCATTCACCGGTCATGAATTACTATGAATTTCCTAGCTAGAGTTCGTTTTCGTGAACTGACCGCGTTATTTTTAAATAATGTGTTTTCTTCTCCTTACTGTGAAATTCAACAAATGAAATCTAAATACACGCCGTATGAAATCTAAATACACTCCGTATGAAATCTAAATACACGCCGTATGAAATCTAAATACACTCCGTATGAAATCTAAATACACGCCGTATGAAATCTAAATACACGCCGTATGAAATGGAACTTTCATCACAGTTACATACAACGTGTGTATTATGGATTCTTGTCATATGATATTGGAATTTCAACCACAGCTGTGTAATTCAAAATATAAACTGTAAAACGTCGACGTAGGAAATAGAACTTTAAAACACCACTGTATAACAAATAAAATCTCGATCTAGAAAATGGAACTTTAAGGACATGCAATTTTATCCAACGAGTGATATTGGATTTTTCGACATACGATCGAAATTTTAATTGCATTTTTCTTATTGTACCACAGCTTTTGTCTACTACGGTGGCTCATAAGAAGACGTCAAGTTATAAAACGATCGGATTCACTCATTCAAAACACAAAGAAATCGGCCATTCTAAATGTCAATGTCGTGTCGCATTATATCTTCTTGGAAGTTGCCAGATTATCATATAACCTAGAAAACAGAACAACACGTGAAGAAATCCTTGGTAAATTGAAGGCACGTTCTTCGTTGAATACGCTTAGATTAACAATCATTTTCATGACTGACAGAAAAATTAGATCCTGTCCAAAAGAATCGAGCATTTTACCATTTTGATTTGCTACTTTGCTAATTTGACATCTGGGAGCCATGATTTTAATAAAGCATATTTCCGAAAATTTCTTTAACTTAATATGTTCGTCATTAATAAAATGGGTGACAGCCCACTCGGAACATATTTTACACGATCTTGCCTCCGTCATTCAGTCCGCTTGAACAGCTAAATAAAATGTCAAATCGACTCTCGAAACTTGACAAAGATAATAAATATGGATATCTGAAGTAGTTGCACGTTTATACTGCCGTGAAATTTATACTTTTGGCATTAAATAATATCTTTCTCTCATTATTTAAATTTATATATTTTATGAATTTCGAAGCTCTCGTTTTTTGGAAGCAAATTTTTCTCCTTATTTTTTACAAATTTGATCAATTTTGAATAGCTCTGATACTCATTTTAATCTGAAGTCTTTAAAATGCGTCCACAATAAATAAATTGCAATATTTGCAATCCCAAAACGAACGAAATTTCGATGTATTTAAAGAACCTAATCAGGCACGTTCATTAAGTCAATTTTGTCTTGAATCATGAACCTTGGTTTCAAACACAAAAAACACCCACCCCCACAACAACAAGAAGAAAACAAGAAAAACACCAAACTGACTGGGGGCCCCGAGTGGCCTAGTGGTCTAAAGCGCTGTCCGTTACGGATCACTGCCATCTCACCTCTGTCTTCGTGGGTTCGAGTCTAGGATTCGGCTAATGTGGCTATGTGAGAAAGCTTGCCAGTAGCTTCTCGTGGGTCGGTGGTACTTTCCGGTGATTTCCCGGTTTCCTCCTCCACCATTAATAATGGCCGCCATGAATAGCCTATCGTGTGCTGAAAAATGGCGTTAAGCCCAACAACAACAACAACAACCAAACTGACTGAAAACCCATCCAAGTCCGGTATCTCAAAATAATTAAAAAACAACCAAGTACGTGTTTCAATGGAGGACACTTCTAGTTAATTGCACGTATTGTTTTGGGCATAAATTTTATCCTTAATTACATTCTGCTTATTAAGGTTGGGTCTTTTGACGGAATAAATATTGTAATTGCTTCTTAAGACAGGCTGGTGATGTGTCTACACTGTATACGTATCAGAAGCAGACACTGCAGAAAATGAAAGTGTTGATCAGTACTATTGATTTTAAAAAATGATGTGCTTCTTATTGCACTGGTTTTAAATTTCGGACAAGTTGGTATTTTTTTTTTAATGTTTTATACATTTTAATGATTAATGCATATTATGTACCAAGTGTTTCAGGTACTGGACAAAGGTCGCTCAGTTGGACGTAGAAATCAATTTCGGGAAAAAAGTGTTAGGGTCGGCAACGAAATTCATGGACTCTCCGCCGACCGGAAATACGCATATGTTTTGTTCTAACATCGCATGTTATATTTTTACCTCAAAATGTGTTTGAATTAGTTTGCTCGCTTTGATACCTCCATCACCAACAATGTTTGTGTGTGTGTGTGTGTCTGTGTGTGTGTTTGATTTGGATTTTTAACGTAGCTTTAAAAATAGCTCAGACATATGCAGTGTGACGGTTTATAGTGATGTCTAGCACTGGATAAACATGCCGCTGCCATGTAACTACATGTCACACTTTGTCACATTTTTTAAATCCTGAGAACAGGTCGAAAAATCCTAACATTAATTTCTTAATGTTATGCACCAAGTTAAGCAGTTGCAAGGACCATTTTAATAAGTCTTTAGTATGACTCGGCCTTGGTTCGAAACCGCGACCTCCTGCATCCGAGGCGGACGCTTTAACCAATTAAGCCACCGGAACGGTCCATAACCAACAAAGTAAAAAAGTCGATTCCTACAACTTAACAAAGGAATTTTGCTGCATTAAGTCTTTCATTTTAAGCTACTTGCGGGTCGCATGCAGCGTTAGACGCCATTAACAACGCCCTCATCCAAGTATCCTCCGCCGTTATGTGGCCTATGTGCATTACTTTACAAATATTTGTACAGTGGTGTCCTGAAAGTATATTTCAACAGTGCTGTCCTGAAAGTATACATGTACAGTGGTGTCCTGAAAGTACATTTGTACAGTGCTGTCCTGAAACTATATTTGACAATGTCATCAGGTTTTAAATGACAATATGATTTACATTCCAGTTCCATCAATGCAAGAAAGATGAGTCTGTTGGCAGGGCCACTGGAAATCTTGATGAATGTGTGTGTGTGTGTGTGTGTGTGTGTATATATATATATATATATATATATATATATATATATATATATATATATATATATATAAATATATATATTCTGACAAATTTAATAATACAAATGAAGCTGTAACTATGTCACAAGATTCTGTTCATAACCCTTAGTAAATATTAGCTTTAGTTATACAACTGATTACTATTTTAACTCTCCCGGCCGTGACTAATTGACCTATCTGGGAAAAAATCCTGCTTACCCACCCACCCATCCTGCAAAAGATCCTGCAGGCGCCCATGAATTCCATCAGAGAAAAGATGGAAATGACGTCATATGTAAAATATGGATGAACTGTCTTCAAGGAAGAAATGTGGATCTATTAACTGTCACAGGAAGGAAGACAAATCTGCTCATGTCGTCATTTCAACATCATCAATCGACTTATTTAATTGGAATGCTGGGTAGATCTGTTGAATAAAATACGTCTACAGCATCAATTAGCTCTGTTCGTGACGTCATATGTATAATATCGATGAACATCGCTGTCATACGGAACTTATGTAAGCTTAAAAATAGTCCCCCACTGAACACAGTAGTATGGTCACATATTAATTGGGAGGGGGGTTACTGGTCAGTCTTAAGTCCATCTTCATCATGCATAAATCCTTTTTGAAAAATGTCATAGCTTTTTCTTTATTGGTTTCATCGTAGAATCTGACATTTATAATTCGCTTCTGTTAAGGTGTGATGTACTATAAATCGCATTTTTCCTCGTTTTTTATCATTCAATAACATTTCATTCATTATCATGATAGCTATATATCATGCTAATGATGGGGTGGGGTGGGTGGGGTGGGGTGGGTGAGGTAGGGTGGGTGAGGGATGCTACCTTTTGTATGTCATCACATTTAGACATGAAACATGATTCGTAGGTTTTTATTACTACAAAAAATGATTTAAGAAGAAAACAGAAATTATCATTTTCACAATTTTCTTCTCTTTTATCTCATTATTTTAGGTCATTTACAAAAGATGCTGTCAACGTGATATATGGTACGATCAACAGGTACGTCAGTGATACCAAAATGATGGTACGATCAACAGATTCGTCTGGCCACCCTAATTATAGTACGTTCGACAACTATGCCAGTGATATGAAAAATAAAATTATTCCCTATGTAAAAGAAATTAAAGGCTAGGAAAAGTATTTCTGGTATCAGAAAATACAATTAGATTTTCATCAGACAAACCTTGCAAACCTTGTGTATGTGTGTTTGGGGATTTGAATTTTGAACGTAGCTTTAACAATATTTCAGTCATATCACTTCGACGTCTTCAGTACGGCACCTTATAACGATATCTAGCATTAGTGGATCATGCAGCAGACACGTAGCATGATGTCCCACCTGGTCACATTATCCTGACACCAGGCAGACCAGTCCTAACCCTAACCTCTTAATGCTGAGCGCCAAGCTAGGCAGCTGCTGGTACTATTATTATTAGTCTTTGATATGATTTAGCCGGAATTTGAACCCGCGACCTCCCACAACCTAGGCGAACGCTCTAACCACTTAAGTCACAAGAATGGTCGCAAACCTTGAGATTTCAGCCAAAACCTCAAATCTATGATTTCACAATGCCTTTAGATATGACATAATTTTTTAGTTTTATTACAGTGTTATTACATTAGTTTTATTACAGTGTGTTTTATTACATTAGTTTTATTAGTGTTTTATTACATTAGTTTTATTACAGTGTGTTTTATTACATTAGTTTTATTACAGTGTGTTTTATTACATTAGTTTTATTACAGTGTGATACAAGAACGATACTTTACATGCATATACATGGTAGGTACAGTGCAATACATTTTTATGTCAGGCTGACATTATAAGACACCACAAAAATAACAGATGAGATGCAACCTTGTTAAATATTTGCGTTTGCTTTCTGTGAACAGACATCCTAGATGACAGTGTGCATTGTTCTTTATGGCCATGTTCCTGTTTGTTCCAGCAACACATGCCCGTTACAAGAAGCGGCAATATAATAAAGAGGGGCAACTCGCGAATAATTTAACCCTATTGTGGTCACGTGCCTTCCTCAACTACGGGTCGAAACAACATGCGGTAAAGATTTCCGCATCAACCCAGGTAGTTTTACGATAAGATAACGAGGTTCTTTTTTTATAAAAAAAAGAGATAATTTAATACAATTATTTCTGTATCAGCTTGATCGATTCGTGAAATTTTGTAATTTATTGGCAAGTACATTACAAAATGGCCATGTGATAAAAAAGAACCTATTGAATTTCTACAAATTTGCTAGATAGACTGCAACATATTAGGATCTCTCATGACGGCAGATGTACTCAATTAATGCAACCGTGGAAATCAATGTGAAAATAATTAGACTAGCTTAGAGTAATCTGACTTTACAAAAATGTAATTTAACAAAGCAGTATTTCAGCAATGCGTTTCTTAAAGAACACTCTAATTTAATGTCAGAATAACTAATAAAAGATAAAGTATAACTAAAATCAACATGTAATTTATAGTAGAATTGTTACGAAAGCAAAGTTTGTTTTTCTTGTTTCCCTATTTGGATAAAACTGTATGCTAACGCGTCACGCACATCATTTTGACATGCGTATTTGTTTGATCTTGTTTCATGCGATGAAAATTAAACTCGCGACTTAGCCTCATTTGCAATCTATCTATCTATCTATCTATCTATCTATCTATCTATCTATCTATCTATCTATCTATCTATCTATCTATCTATCTATCTATCGGTCTGTCTGTCTGTGTATATATCTAACCTATACGCAACAACAAAGTCGTCTTGAACGTGATATCGCCACTGGCTCATATCGTCTGGTGGTTTTAATTTTCTCTCCATTAACGAAACGAAAAGACTGAATAATCGAATTAGCTTTAATGTAACGATGTGCTCATATGAGAATTTTAATTAATCATAAGGCAATTTTATTGCATAATAAGTCAAAAAGTCATTACTACTATACGTTTATGAGAAAGCAATGTCTATCCGTTGTCATTAATTTTATGTAGATCTTTCAATTTATGTTTATTAAGATTATAAATTAACTATTAATTTTCTATCCAATAATGATTGCATTTTCTTTTGCATAAAAAGGTAAGAAACTATCATGGAAAATCAAAGCATCATAATTCTGGTTAGCATCCTCGCTATGCAGCGTAACATTTAGGAATTGTAATGAAAAAGAAAACTTTGCATTCTTAGATTGATAATTTCAGGACTCGCCGATCTCGTGTATAAAACTCGTACAAAAATAATGATTGCAACCACATGATTGTCACTGAAATAAACATAAAACATTCTCCTGCCGCATCTTTCCATTACGGGCCATCATCTGAAACTGACATCTTTCCATCGACCCTTGTGCGACTTGCCAGCCAATCTTCGTTGTCATAAAATCTTTATTCAGAGAATTCACCTGTGTTGCCATTGATCGATCACACGGAAGAAGAACGGCAATTGGACAGTTCTGCTCGCGAGGAACAATAAATCGATAAAAACCTAGTTAAATTTGCGCAGGGAGTGATTTTTCTTGGCTGGAACTAATAATTACTTTTGTATTTTAGGTGTATTTGGTACGAACGGAGACGTCAATCTAACTGCGAGAAGGATTAATAAATAGTAAAATGTAGTTATACAGATCCAGCGTTTTAATAGGGAGGCTCCATTGGGGTTGGATCATGCAGGCAAGGCGATTGCATGCTTTAGCGGGCAGACCTGATTACGATTTTATTTAGGAGACAAGTTATAGGATTATTTACAGGATATTGTGCTATCCTTTCTCCACACATAATGTACTTCAGATTGCCACGCATTCCCATGTAGGAACCAGGAATAGCATATATATATATATATATATATATATATATATATATATATATATATATATATATATATATATATATATATATATATATATATATATATATATATATATATATATATATGTGTGTGTGTGTGTGTGTGTGTGTGTGTGTGTGTGTGTGTGTGTGTGTGTTACACGACGATTTCCCAGACTATGTATGTATGTATGTATGTATGCATGCATGTATGCTTGCAAAACTAGTCTAATCTCTAAGACGCATGTTCATTATTATAAAAACCTTGTAATGAACGATATCAAGATTTTTTCATGAGAAAGGGATGATTAAAGACCAGGCACACGACAGAGTTTGAGATCACTGACATTGACTTTACTTATATCAGTAAAAATGAATATTTACCATTCCTTTAATTATGATTTTGTACATCTTTATTTTCACCCAAAATAAAACTCAGTAATTAATGCCACCCAGAGGAGATGTCATCATCATTGTGGTCAAAACAAGAGTCGTGTTCATGTATTGTTCGCAAACATGTCTGACTTCTATGCACATGTGCTAATAATGTTTCTTTCAAATTATAATAAATCGCGCATCTTATCGATTACCTGGATAGCTCATCCACATTGTAGCCTAATTTAATTAAATTCTTGACAACTCCATGCTGATTCTTCTATTTGCATTTCATCTTAATTTCATTAAATAGAATATTTATCTCACCTGAAACTTTAATACATTGA